CTCCAGGGGTGCTGTATGAATGGCTGACCCTGCACTCTGAACCCAAGCTTCTCTCTCCCTGTCTGTGTGCCTGTGTGCCTCCTGGAGAGCAAACTGGGGTACTGTATGTGAAAAGACAAATTCCTAATGCAAGAAGTTGTATATGGCTAATAAAGTGATCTTTCTCTTTATCTCTAAACTAGTTCAGAATCTGATGCGACAAAAGAGCACACAAAAAGAAGAGTGGAAGAGTGTTGTTATTATTATATTGTTACATTTTCACTAACATGTCATTCCCTTTGTGCATCAATGATTTTGTCTTTTTGAGGAAGTCCTTAATAGAGGCAATGATAGCAAAGGGGAAGAGGCGTTAATCTCAAATAAACAGTTGATCCAACAAACTGAAAACAAATTGAAACTTTGTTTTGCCTAAATTAAAGCAGAGTCCTTAATGTGTGGTTAGAATCAATTAATAAGGCCTTACAGAAGGAATTATTTTTTGAAGAACATTTCGGGACAACATTGATAAATCATAACAGAATGGGCATTTGTTTTCTGAGTATTGTTTTTTTGGGTTACTTTTTTGATAATGTGTATGCAACTGTAAAATGTTTGTCTTCAAAAATGTATACTTTTATTTATGTACTACTACTATCTTTCTTTAATATATATATTGTTAAAATGAGGATGGCAAAGGGTCGGGGGAATAAAAGGGGGGATAACTAGAGCAGACGCTCCAGTCCTGGACCCAGATGCTCAGGACGCCTTTGTGAAGCCTACACTGTTGAGTCGCTCCTGGACTCGCGGGTAGGCTGGCTTCCGGTCGGCCATCTTCCAAAGCTGAGCCCAGATTGGCAGGAACGTCTGGCTTTTATAGCACGGGGGGGTAGGAACAGGAGGCAGGTGGAGGGGAACAAAACAAGAAAGGGCTGGAGTATCCTTAAGAGGAGGGGTTACGATCGTGAGATTAAAATTGACTAAAAGATTAAAAAATCGTGAGTAAAATTGGCCCTAGGTAAATATGTTTGTGTCTGTGTGTGTCCTGTGATGGACTGGTTTTCTGTCCAGGATCATGGGCCACATTGAGCCTAAATTGGATAGGCCTTGAATGTGATATTTTTAAAGTGATACAATAAATAAGATTATAAAACAATATTTGGTTAGCCATCTGAAAGTAAGAGAAACAAGAAGTGAATATTTATCATTGTAGTGTAAACTACACGAAAAACGTTGTTGCTTGGCAAAAAAAAAAAAACATTAAGACAACTTTATGAGACTGAAAACAATTGTTCTACTAGTATCCTACTTTTTAAAACAAAAATTCCTTTTACAAATGAAAATAATAAGTAATGACTAGACCTTGACAGATCTACAATAGAAATCTTTAAGGTGACTTTTTGTGTGACCTATATACAGTGTGTGTAGCCTAACAGTGTGTGTTTTACTGTAGGTCTGTGTACATAAAAAAACTTGGATGCAAGAAACAAAATGGAAAGAGAAGACATTAAATATCTTTGTCGTTTTCTCAACAGCCTGTATCATATGCACAGAGAACCTCCTTGTGAGCAAAAACAAATTACAGCATTTGTCACTGCTGTAAAATGTGGTTTGAGGTTTGCAAATCCTGTGTCTTAAAATGTTTTCCAATTGGGTGTAAAATTACCAACAAGCCCTATTGTTAATGCATGTGGACAATTAACTGGCTTCTTACAGATTTAGAGGTGTCAAATATAAATATGAAAATGTTCCCATTTAAACCTACTTTATTATCCCGTGCTAAGAGGTCTAAAAAGTACAGTGACTGATTTCAGAGTTCAATGAATACCTGTAATTATGGGTTTAAATTTAATCTGCAGATCAAGAACAATAGGAAACAGATCGTGGACATTTGTCATGTTCCAGCTATTGTTGGTGTTTTTATGGCAGAACTGGGAGAGGTAATGTTGTCATTCTAACTCTTGAAATATTACAGTAGAACAAATTCTTTGTCAGTGACAAAACAGCGTTTGAACACTACACTGCAAGAAGCTATTTTATGAATAGATTTTTCAGGCTTGAGGTTCAAAGACTAATGTTTATGAGATGACTAATCTTCCCATATACTGGCAACATATTGTGTTTTATAATTGGCGCATTTGAATTTTCAAGTGAATTTGAACATCAAGTGATGTGTGTATGGTTTGATCAAAGAATAATGTAGATTTTTTTGTTTGGAATAAAGGTTACATAATGTGATACAGGGGACCTTTAACTTATGGAACCATGGAGATTTTTGCCATTTAATTTTTTTTTGCAGCACAATGCACATACAGTACAGGCCTTTCTTTTATGACAGGTCCACTTGCAACGTACTTCCAAAGCTTTCTTGCCAAGAACACAATAACTAAAGCACAACCCATAATGCCCTTCTACATAAATATTTGAACTCTTTGTCAAGCTCTTTACTACACATACATTGCCTCATTAAGCAAAACCACCACATTTTTGTTTGTGTCCAATTAAAATTGTTTACACCAAATTTCAAAGGCTGTTCTTTCAATTCACCTCTGTGTTATGTGTAAGTATAAATTTCAGATTGCTACACACTACTGCAATTACATACTTAAAGGACTGGTTTTAACAATTCAATAAAGTTCTGAGGCTAATAAAGTCATTCATTTAACCACTGAGGAACGAATCAAGTATTTCGATTTCAATTGAATAAAATTCAAAGTCCTGTATATTATTGGACCACACATACCACAAGCAAAATAACAAGTCCTAATATCATATCATATCATATCATATCATATCATATCATATCATATCATATCATATCATATCATGTGTTTTTTAATATAAAAGACAAGAACAAACTTTAAAACATTCTGTGTGGAGGTGCTCTTCTTCTTAACCTCTTAAATTATAATGAGGTATATTTAGGGATTTGCAGAAGTAGGCTGAGGTAAGCCCGTGCTCAGTGGAGTAGATGCTCAGGATTGCTGGAAGAGTTGCATCAATGGCTTCTGAATGGTTTACTTGAGTAAATGTAAATGTGAGTACATTTTGTACATGCTTATGGAGCAGCTTATGGGCAACAACTATCAGCTGCAACAAACATATGTAAAAGGGCCTTCAAACAAAATTAGTCTACATAATGTTCAGTTGAACCAGCCTTGTTTAGGAAATTTAAAAGCGTTTCCCGTGAATCTGCATGTGCTCTGATATTTTGGCCGATGCAAATATTAAAAAGAACTGAAATTAATTTCTGTGTCCAAGGGAGTCAAAAATGAAGAAATATTTTTTTACAAACCAGTGAAAAGAGAAGCTGGACATTTGTTTTCAGATTCTCCAAATAAGATGTAGTATCCACACAACATTTTACTTTAAAATAGGATTTTTAATGAAAATGCATCTCTCTCAGGACATGGTATAAGCAGAATTCTTTCAAAATAGTATTTAAAGGACTATATATGTAATGTAATATAAATCCAATCCTATAAACACAAATAATTAATGAAATAACTGTTTTTACACCTTACATAGAAGTCAGAATTAGAATCAATTTGACCACTGTGCATTTATCTGTCTTAATCACTTTGCATTGCAACACCTATGCCCTTCTTTACTAAAGATCCAAAGAATAGATGTTTGGCCTATTTCAAGTGCCCAGACAAGTATTGTAGTTGCTGTATTTTTAAAATATGAATAGCAGGTGGAACCATTCTCACGATGAAAAGCAGACACAGAAGTCATTCATGTTGTCCTTTTTGTTTACCTACTCGAAGGTGCTGATGTGACATGCAGGTGATTCCATACTGTGAACTAACCCAAATACACTGTAATGTTTGGAATATTACTAACAATATATTCCAGACCAAGCCAGACTAGGGTGCTTCCATCATGCTATTAATAGTAAGTGGTTTTTCATTACATGTTTCAGAACACTGCACAACCTTGTTATCTTTTAGAGTGCTTTGTGTGGTCAGCAGGGTCAATTTTCACTCCAACATATTTAGGTCTGCCTCAAAATGAATACTTTGGCTTTGAAGGAAATGATGTGATTGTCTGCTGGCTTTTTGATGTATCCCACTAAATTAAATGCTGTGGGATTCTCCATTACCATGTGGTCTGTCCATCAAACTACATACGCTGGACATAAGAAGAACATAAGATGAATTTCATATTTTAAAGAATTGCAAATTTACTGCACTCCAACTTTGAAGTTAAAAATGACATCTGACACATCTTTTCAGGTTTGCAAAAATGCAAGAATATCTGAAGTGAAAAAGACAAACCATAATTTAATATAAGTTAGAGCTGTATTTATTTGAATTATCATAGTCTCGTGTGATTCAAATTAGAGCTCATCATCAGAAGGACTAATTATAGAGTTAAGAATTGTCGGTCCACTGTAGATTTTGTAGTCATACAAAATCTACATCACTGTTGGGTATCTACCCAACAACTCCTCTATACTTTATTCACTGTAATAACAATGTTCTTTAACACACTTGGTGGTGAGGTTGAATCAATAGAACGTGTTCCAGAAAAGTAAACCTTACGTTTGCCAGTAGGAGGACTGTGTTAAGTTATGGTTTGCCGTGACATCTGTATTAACCGACATTGTGGAGCTAGAAGTCGAGTGTTTTATTAGTTGACTATTATTTTACTGTTTGTATTTATTTTGATCATAACAAAAGACCCACTTAATCGTTCTTATATGTTACATATATACTATTGTTGTTTGTTAAGTAAGAACCAAATTTAAAGGTCAAATTGAGGACATTCCTTGCTAAAAACAGAAATAATGTGTGGGATTCCTCGGGTGACACGGTTTCTCTGGTGAAAAAAAAACATTCAGTTTGACCAAGGAATAGCACATGTAATTATGTATTGTTTATTAAATGTCATAGCTTACATTCAATAGTTTGACCACAAAAAAAATAAATTGTTTTCGGTGTGAGGAGTTCCCAAGACCGGGCAGAACATTTTGTCACGTGACTCAGACGCCACAACCCCTCCGCTCACAACACTGTAAATACTGAGCCAAACAAGACCTCTGACAGTGCAGATTCGGGAAGCTTACCAGGGGCTGCAGGGGCTGTGCATGCAGGATATTCTTTTTTATTGCATTTAGACTAAAAGTCTTTTCGGATAAAATATCGCTTTCCAACTTCAGCTACAGTGATAGCTAAGTTTGGAAAGAAGAAGAAAGGCTATATAGTTTTCTATGCAGAAAAACAAATTTCAGTGTTTGCACGTCATTAAGGATAAATAATCGAAGGAATTCGATTCACTGGAACAAGACAAAAAATAACATGGAAAATACGAAATCCAAGAAGAACTGCTGTGGTAAGAGATGTCTTTGTTACAGTATGTTTAAGTAGATGTTGCTGCACTAAATGTAACTGTGATGTATTATTTGCAAGTCCTAATAAACGTTGGTTGTAATTGATTTTCTAATTATTAATTTGCAGAATCTGTCAGCGATTATTTCACATCGGCGAAGTTTCTTATTTACCTTGGGCATGCTCTTTCAACATGGGTAAGTTAGAAAAAAATTTTTCAAGCTGGATATCGATTTTGTTTTCCTAAACATTACAGCGACGTTTCAGTGTTTATATCTTGTGGCGATGCATGTAGCTGTTTTGCTTGTCCTGACACCGGAGACAATAATGAAGTCATTGCTGTGGCGTAAGGACGTCCGAAATACAAAGAGTTTTAATAACGACCTCCCAAAACCAGCTACAGTACATGTCAATTCGATCAACATGTATATGGTTTTGTTCAGTGGCAATATACAGTATAAACACTCTTATTTGAATACGTTGGTTCGGTTTAAATCGGACCAAAGCTAAAACAATGTCGTAACGATGTTGCTAATGCAAAACCTCGTATTCTTGTTGCAATATGTGCTGAACTTGCAGCCTACCGATTGAACCCGTATGTGTGCGCCTTGAATCAATACGAGTGTAGTCAGTTTTCAGCTATGGAATGCCGCTTGTGTCATCAATCTCTGGAACATACACGTTACAATTAGAGACACAGGTGAAATAATTAATGTTACATGTAAGCTTATTACCCGATCAGGACTCAGGCAAAGATACGCTTATTGTTTGCATGACACAGCTGTACGTAAGGACAGTCATTGTGACTCAGCAAGATGTTTGTATAGAAGAGTGATGCAGGGGTTTACAGTTACAATTAATTCGAATATTCACAGGCAATGCTGCGAAAGTCCCTACTTAATTCATTACTATTTTCTACCTGATAGCCTGGGATGATATTCAAGTTTAGCAGTATTTAGCAGACTCGGTTTATGACATATAATGAATTACATAGAGTTACACATCAACGCAATTTTCTTATTTTTGAAGCCTATTTTTGACAACATATTCATCTGTCGGTGAAATGAATTCATTTCTTAGGTTTCTAAGACACTCGTTCTTTTGTTTCTGGTGGAGAGTCTCTTTCGGAATAAATCTTCCGATTAGTTAATATACCTACATTTCTCCCTTTGATTTGTTCGCTTAAATATGTCTATCATTCGTGTCTTTACTTTGGAATACATTCAATACTGTTATAATATTAGAATATGCTGCGTCAATAAAAAAGTGTTCACGAAACGTATTTCCCGCCGGATAGAAATTCCACAATATAATATGGTATATATTCTGAAGCGTTTATGGCCCAGATATTATCAATGTTCGATGGATATGAATATTCTAATTTTTAACTGCAGTTGCCTGTGACGTGTCTCGGCACATTGCTGTGTAGATTAGTGTAACAGTTCTTAAATGTTGGGTACAATCTCGAAGTGAGGCCTCTTCAGTTTGCTTTTCCCGTTTTCTTCAGGAGTTACAGGGTTCACCGAAAAATCTGCTGGTTTGGTTGATTTCCCCCTATAAGTTGACATCAACACAACTGAGTACATTTTGAAAAAAGCTGTAAAGACAGTTGTGTCAGAAATGGTTTGCTTCAATTTAAGAATGCCTTTTTTAGAAATCAAGCATATTGAAGCTCTGGTAAATAATAATAATAATAATTCGTTATACTTATATAACACTTTTCTGGACACTCCACTCAAAGCACTTTACAGGTAATGGGGACTCTCCTCCACCACCACCAATGTGCAGTCCCACCTGGATGATGCAATGACAGCCATAGTGTGCAATTACACTTACCACACATCAGCTATCAATGAGGAGGAGAACAGAGTGATGAAGCCAGCTCATAGATGGGGATTATTAGCAGGCAATGATTGGGAAAGGCCAATGGGAAATTTGGGCAGGACACTGGGGCAACACCCCTACGCCTTTCGAGAAACACCCTGAGAATTTTAATGACCATAGAGAATCAGGACCTTGATTTTACATCTGAAGGACGGTGCATTTTTACAGTTTAGTAGTGCCCCTGTCACTCGAATCGTATGAGTTGATCCTTAGTTTCTTGTGAACACTCTTAACCAGGGAGCTAAATAGGTGCTTTTTTTACCTGGGGTTACCTTCTAAGCAAAAGCAGATATTGTAAAAAATGGGTGAAAACTACAACACAGAAACCATCTTCCATTTTTTTATTTTCTACCAGTTAAACACAGAATGAAACACATTATTCAGTACCTCCTCCATTGGCACTAATAACACTTGGCAGAAGTGTTATTAGCAAGCTTGCATCCCCCTGCATTTTTATATTTGTTTTGATAATATCCAGATTCTCGTGGCTCTCTCACCTAGTGCTTTTGACAAAAAAATTACTCAGATGGTGGGAGTGGTGTTAGAATGTTGTACTATACTGTGTTCTTGGGAAAACTGGAAATAAAGTAAAAACATTATTGGATTTCTCTTTCACATTAATTATTTATCTGCATTTTACAGCTGCATATCATTCCTAAAGATGATATCTTCCTTGCCTATATAATGTATTCATTCCTCCCTCCCGCTGCCTTCCCATCCACAGGGTGATCGTATGTGGAACTTTGCAGTGTCGGTGTTCCTTGTGGAGCTCTATGGCAACAGCCTCCTGTTAACAGCTGTCTATGGGCTTGTAGTGGCCGGGTCTGTGCTGCTGCTTGGAGCCATTATTGGTGACTGGGTGGATAAGAACTCCAGACTCAAAGGTGTGCATGAGGCAGACCCTTATCATGGTCATCCTTTATAGTCTATGTAGCACTGAAGGTGTTTTAAAAGCAAGGATGTAATATACAGTATGTTACATGTTTATATTCCTGTATTCATACTACTACATGTGGACTTTCCAAGGGATCGTTCCACATAGGAATTGACATCAAAATGAAAAACAAACACAAAGAGATACAGTATATGCTTTGAATAAAATGTATAGGATTGGGATAAATTGTTGAGATTGTAGAGTTACCATTCCATAATGCTTGTCTGTCTGTGTTTTTTATTTTGTACATGAAACGTTTGCAGTTTGCAAATGTTTTTGATTATAGTATTTTTTTTAGTCATATTAGTTTCAGAAGAGGACATCAATGATTCCTTAAAATCTGTTTTTTACCTGTTATGTCTCAAGAAAATGACAAGTTTTACGTATAGTGTACATTCCATATGTATGTACAAGTATAATGTAGCTATGCTGTTTGAAAAAGGAGATCTGCACCTGTTCCAGTGTCCTCCTTAAAATTAATAATATATTTCTTTCTTATGTTTCAATCCTGAATAGTTGCACAGACTTCATTGATTGTCCAAAATTGTTCGGTCATTTTGTGTGGTATCCTCTTGATGATGGTATTCCTGTTTAAAGTTCAGCTCACAGGACTGTACAATGGCTGGCTTCTGGTAAGTATTTGAGCATTATTGTCTATTGTCTATTATTATGTCTGATAAAGAAACTAGGTACCAGTGTTGAGACTTAAGTTAAACAGCACACTCCTTATGTTAAATATTTAGATAACAAACACTGATTTGAGGGCAAATTCAAGTAGTTTAAATAAATTGAGTTTTAAAAAGTTGAGTGTCTATCTTTTATGTATTTTTAAATCAGTAAAATAATTTTTAAAAAGGCTAGGATTTATGTGCACATTACTGGTCAACAGGAAAGTTAATGTGTTTCACATGTGATCATCTTACACAGTTAATTAATTTGTAGAAACCTTATAGATTTCTAGTAGATTAAGTGAACACGTGATCTTGGCATGTTTGTGTTCAGAAGGTGGTGAAATATGAGACTCAAGTGTGGAATCGCTAGTTTCTGTTTGTCATGTGATGAAGAGGCAGGCAGAGCAAAATGTTGTTCCTTCCTGCATTCCGATCTTGTCCAAATGTACCCAGAAAATGGTAAATATTTGAAGGTTACAGTGAACTAGGTTAAATTTAGCTTGCTGCTAATGTTGGGTCTGTTTGAGGAAAATCGATTAGTACTTATTGGGTGTATTTCTGGTAAAAGAACAATGCTTAATCTTATAATGAAATATGGCTGCATTGTTGTTTGCTTTTCAAATGAAAGTATTCAGTGTCATTTATTCTTACAGTATTAGTATGAATGTTAATTTGTGCAGGGAAAAAAAGTCCATTTTAATTTTTAAATAAGGTAACTGTGCTTTGTTGCAAGTCAGGATCTTGCTCAGAAAAAATCAGTAATGGGTAGATAAATATTTAAAATGACAGGTATGAGTCTCTGTTTAAAAGATACAGATATTTAGAAAATAATTACATGTAAAAAGTATTTGGCAGCAAGAATTTGTTGTATTTACGCAGTTAAACAGGTTTCCAAGTTCACACACGCTTTTCCTGTCACCCAGTAACAAGCGATAAATTGCTTTGATTTAAATCAATGACCATTCAATATATTTAGCTATGGTGAAGTTAGAACATCAAAGGTGATATTCCTTTGTGTGAGCCCCAAACATTATGTAATAAAGATGTTAAAAACTTTCAAGGAAGAATAATACAAGAAAGAGAGTTAATTATGAGCCGAGAATAGAATCAAGTAACTGAGAGTCAATAAGCAGAGGAGTCTAGAATTGTCTGATTTGAAACACCACAGAGTCCAACTTGTGTATATTGCTGAAAACCTATGGAGCATATTGTTGCTTTAAACATATTATCTAACATTCCATATTTGTTTCAGAAATGCATTGTGTATTATTCAGCTGTTCACCCATGGCTTGTTGCTGTTTTTGGTTTCCACAGACTGCCTGTTATGTAATGGTCATCACCATTGCCAATATTGCCAACCTTGCCAGCACTGCCATGTCTATCACCATTCAGAGAGACTGGGTTGTTGTAGTGGCTGGGGAAGACAGAAGCAAGCTGGCAAGTAAGTGCCTTTATGACCTGTAGCAAACTGGTCACGGTTCAGGTTTATACCCCTATGCTGAAGTAAGCAGATTTGATGTCTTAGAAACAGGTACCTTGAACTTCTTGGAACATTCTTTTTCATGCGCTTTTATAAGGTTATATTGTTTCTCTCCTGACAGATGAGAATCATAAAAGCGATACTGCACAGGAAAATAGTGTTTAGTGCTTCCCATGAGATAAGTAGCTAGATTACTGACATGTCTGTAATGGACCATAAAATGCACTGCTTCCCAACCAGCGGGTTAATGGATCATGAATGTCCTTGCAGCTGCCCTATATTGGTTTAAGTTTTTTTTAGTCAAGTACATAATTCTTTATCTTGTTGAATACCTTGTTTGTTTCTTCTTTCACACAAATGGATTTAGACAATCGTCTTGAGATAAGAATCAACAAACATCTGTGGGTTTTGAAAAAAAATACTAATCTTCTGTCATTTTTTGGACCAACTGTAAATGACAGGTGTGTCAGGTAGATCTAATGAAAGATGTCCTCTACTCAGCTATGCATTAACCTACCCTCTTTTTCAGAAATGTTCTAATGTTAGCTTCATAGTTTTCTAGTTTGCATATAAATATATACTAATAAGAGAAAGTTCCTGAATTAAAAATGGTATGTACTGTGCTGTATATTTAATGTATGATGTGGTATTTGTAACCTCTTATTTATAAACTGAAGAGGAAAGGAGCAAATGTCTTTACTCATTTCAAAACCTTTTTATGTTTTCCTTAGACATGAATGCTACAGTAAGAAGAATAGATCAACTGACCAATATTCTGGCCCCTATGGCAGTAGGACAGATCATGGCCTTTGGCTCCCCAGTTGTAGGCTGTGGATTCATTGCTGGCTGGAACCTGTGCTCCATGTGTCTGGAGTACTTTCTGCTCTGGAAGGTCTACCAGAAGACACCAGCCCTTGCTTTCAAGTCAGGGCAGAAGGAGGCAGACCAGGAACTGAAACATCTAAATATTCAGAAAGGTAAAGAATATCCACAGAATCTGAAATAAATATCTCAGATTTTACCCTCATTTGGAAAAAATGTTTTTCTCGCTATTGATATCAAAACTAAATCTTTTGAGTTCTACTTAAACATTGTACACTTATGGGAGATCAGTATAATTGTTGTGTCAACAAATAGAATATTCTGCAATATATTAGATCTGCAACACTAACTAAAATCTGTGTGTAGAGTCTCAAACGTATTGAATGTTGTCTTGTTCTCCAAATCGAGAACAGTTGGGGTACAAGCTCTGCAAGTGAAGACTATTGGAAAAATAACTGAACATTGTTTTATGGAGGTTTAAGAAACGTTAAAGTAGGAACCTGTATATAAGTATCACAGCTCTAGAACACTCATGCATTATCATCTTTCCTCTCTCCGTGCTCCCCATTGCCACCCTGGCTTTATCCCTCTTATAAAGAAGACAAACTGATCCACATCAAAGCTCTGCGTGCATTTCAGTTAGGGTATGGCTGAACTACTGAATTTGTGATTAGTTCTGAGTTGATAAGATTTCTCTTTATCAACAGAACTGGAAGAAGGTCAGAAGTTATCTGAAGGCTCTCAGTTGATGAATGAAGGCGTCTTAGCAACCCAAGCTGACAAGAAACATGGCTGCTGGCATCAGTTAGCAGAGCCATTCCGCACCTTCAGAGACGGTTGGGTGGCCTACTACAACCAGTCTATCTTCTTTGCTGGCATGTCTCTGGCTTTCCTCTACATGACCGTTCTGGGTTTCGACTGCATCACCACCGGATACGCTTACACCCAAGGTCTCAATGGCTCAATCCTCAGCTTGCTAATGGGGGCCTCAGCCATCTCAGGGATCTTTGGAACTGTGGCCTTCACCTGGATCAGGAAGTGCTGTGGCCTGATCCGCACGGGGTTCATCTCAGGAATTGCACAGCTCTCGTGCCTGCTGCTGTGTGTGGTCTCAGTCTTTACTCCCGGGAGCCCCTTCGACCTGAGTGTGTCTCCCTTTAAAGACATCATCAGCCACCTGATGGGAGACAGCGCCTTGCCCAATGCCATCCCCACTACGATGTCAGCCCTCACCACCGACATTCCCAGCTTAACGAATGGGTCCACGGCAGCCTATGAGTTAGTACCTCAGGTTCAGTCTTACATATCAGTGAGCTTTCTGTTCGCAGGAGTCATTGCCGCTAGAGTGGGTAAGTAAGGAGTGTTTTGTTCTTTTCATTTGGTTTGATTTGGTTTGGATTCATCAGTAATCCCAAAATGACTGCTTTTGCCACTCTTTGTTCACTTAGTTCTTCATTTCTGTGGTTTCCAGCCTTGTAGCTTGTCACATCATGGGGCCTTTTGGATATGAAGTATTTCACAAACATATGTGTCCTTGCATTTGATAACCCAGATTCAGCCACAGGATATATTTAATCAAAATATACAGATAAAGAACACAACCTACGTTTTACTTTACAATACACAGCATACATGGACAATAGTTTTGTTTCAGTAGAGATTTTGAAATCTTGTTTCTGAAATCTTAATTATTCTTCATTAACTGGCACTTACATTAATAGAACAGTGTTACTTTAGAGAACCTTACGTGGATTTTTAAAATTGCCATAAGGATTTGAGATGACTATGCCAGGCCAAAGCCCATAGGAAAGTAGACAGTACAGAATGAGATATTCTTGTCATATCTCTAAGCTTTGACCTTTGAATCCTGGATTCCTTGAAATAGGTACTTGCTCTTAAGTTCTCTGAATTCTTTTACGGTTGTAGTGATAACCATGTGGGGATTACATCTCAGTGACGATCTCCTGGTTTTTCTTTTTTTCAGGTCTTTGGTCCTTTGATTTAACCGTGACACAGTTAATCCAAGAAAATGTGATTGAGTCAGAGAGAGGTGTCATCAATGGTGTCCAGAACTCCATGAATTACCTCCTCGATCTTCTGCACTTCATCATGGTGATTCTTGCACCCAACCCAGAGGCTTTCGGGTTACTGGTCATTATCTCTGTCTCCTTTGTAGCCATGGGACACATGATGTATTTCAGGTTTGCCTACAAAAGCTTAGGAAATCGTCTCTTTTTGTGTGGTTCACCAGAACATAAAGTTGAAACTGAAAATTCCTCACTTCCTGACTCCAACAAGGTATAATTGGTTTAATAAGTTTCCTATGTAATGTTATACAGCACCCTTCTGGGGCTTATTGCAACTGTAAAGATAACATGCTTGCATTCAGTTACAGCATTTCTGATTATTTTGTAGCTTTAACCCAGAACAGTGTTTGTAGTCATTGTATATTGTGTTAAATTTGAGTATAGGATTTAACATAGTATGGCAAATGTGTAGCATTCAGCAATGTTGTACAGTTAAAGGAGCTCTTCCAAGGAGCAGACTACAAAGTGTCAGTAGAACTAGGAGAGGGATTTCAAACAGAATGAAGCAGTGTTTTTGAAGTGATCACTCTTCTCAGTCTATCGAAATACTCCACTGGTATAAAGACCTTGCAAGTGGTCTAAAAGTATAAAGAAAGAGAGAGTATATTGCTGCTTTCTGATGTGCATTATGTGTGTGTTAAAGTACATCTTTGTTCCAAGGAGTGCACTGGTTATCCCGAACAATTGAAATACAAGTCTGTCAGTGTGGAGGACTCCCAGCTGTTAAAATGCCATTATGTATACATAAGCTTAACATTGTAGTACACATTGGAAAGTCAGATATTGGATTGATTTTTCTTAGGTTTTAGTATAATTTAGCAATTGTAACTTACTAAAACATGTTCATATTATTACATGATGCATGTAATATAACTATATACTGTAAATTTTATTTCATAAGACTGGGATAGCCTCTTTACCAGTGGCTAATAAGGGTTCTATATATACTTACATGTTTGTTAAACTAATATTCAGTATTGTGTCTGCCTTGTTGGTGCTAATGTATTAACTTGCTAAAGAAGTAGGTAATTATATTTTAAATGTTTTTGCCATTACCAAAGAGATTTATAAATAAGTTGTGTTTATTACAAGTCCAAGAAGTGAGGGAAAAATAATCCTGTTCTAGCTATAACATTTTTGTTTTAAAGACAACTTGGCAACTGAATACTGAAACGTACATTCATCCCATGGCTTCAAAGCACTTCAGATTCCTAATGCTGTGAATTGTTAAGAAGAACATACTTTGATCAGAATTCCAATTTTCTCATGTCACCATGCACTTTTTAATTTTTTTCACTAGGAAAAACTATTGGCACTTTCAGCTGTGTGGCATTTGTTTTATTGTTATGTTTTTGTACATTCTCTTTGGGTTTTCTCAGTATGTTCGTTTTCCAGGCTCATGTCATCCAAAACTTGCAGTTAATTGTTTTTCTGTGGCACTGAGAAGATTTGAATCCCATTATACTACTTTAGATTGAGCCTTAAAAACACTTCTTAAAATCATATCGTGCCTGTTTATAAATTGCACATGGTCATACACAAACCCTGACTGGTTTAACGTCCAAAGGAAATGCTGCTTTATTTGACCAGAAACCAGATTTAAAACTTGTTAAAAAGTTACCTCTACATTTCATCATCCAGTTTTTATGGTTGGAAGACAAAACGTCTGTGCATTAGCTATGCAACTGCAGCAGACTTAATGAGGATGTTCTATTTCTCAGTTCGAATTGAACACAAGGTGCACTTTTAGTGGCTATGGCCTTCTTACTATCAAAAGAAATACAACATTTTTTAAAAGATTGCTTTCTGATGAAAGACGTTCATGTTAAAATGAACGTCTTATACTAGATGACATACAACACTTTGTAAGAAAAACACAAATCCAGTTTGACCACTTGATGAGAACAAGGAAACCCCCATCTTGTTTTGCGGGATGGGTTATTTATATTCTGAGTACATGGGGCCACCTAGACTGGTTTCTTTAAAAATGTGCTGACACTAGGAGTCCTTCCTAAAAGTGTTTGGCATAGACTTGTTGGTCGTATTTTATTTCAAGAGCAAAAATGTTTCCTTCTACTTCTGGCAAATGGCTATTTTTAGATTACAGAAATCTAACAATGTGAATGCTACTTAATGTTATTGTGCGAAAACTAAAAAAAAAAAAATGAATCCAGTTATTTAGATGTACTTTTCCATTTAACATTATTAGGTAGCTCGTAATTGTTTTAAGTTTTTAGCAAAAGTAGCTTTTGTATTTTTTTCATTTATGTTATAATAAAGCAAAAGAAGTATGGGGATGTCAGCATTTTTAAGGAGACAATGTAAAATACAGAAGTACTTTTTGGGGTTTAAAGGGATTGGAGAGGATGAACCATAATCATACACAAGGCTGCCTTTTGTTAAAATCAGAAATAAAGTCCACAAAATGTACAAGATGCTATTAAAAGTGAATGTAAAATTTGTGCACCATTAACAAATCCACCAGCAATATGTGTAACTTAACCTCTGTGATGTGTTTTTGAGATTGTTTCAAGTCTTTTTATATTGATAGATTTCCAGTACTTTGAGTACAATTGTTCAAATCTATAACTGTAAAAAATGTTACTTTATGATTGTATTAACAAGAAACACTCCATACTTTAGAACAGTGGAGACACTCAGTTTGTATTGCATGAATTATCTGAAATAAAGGCTTATATAAGTGGACAGTTTCTTATGAGTGAATTAAAATCATAAAAATACCCACCTCTTAAGCTGATTTTAGCAATTGTGCTGAAAGAAATCGAAGCTAAGGGAGAAGTCTTTGATGTCATTGTAAAATGCAGAATGGATGCACACCATACACATTCCTTTTGAAGGTTACCTTTTGTTTAGATGGTTGACACTAAAAAGTCTAGAAAGAGACTTCCCTTATGCAACGTTTGACATTCAGAAGAATATAGCCTGAAGTATGTCCTGGGAACTAGTTACCAATATTGGGCAAGGACCTCAGAGTCATGTTTAAGCATGTGGATTTCAGAAAAATGTATTGCTTAACAGCAAATAAGAACATTGTAAATAAGCTATACAGTTTTAATTGCAGTTGAATGCCATATTGGTGTCATGACAGCTTCTATCAAAATTGGTTCTAGTAGGTACGTATAATGTTGTTGGCTTCAAATAATTTTTCTTTGAAAATCCTTCCTGTCCAGTTTTCATTTCTACTGTATTGTCCACAATTTCAGCAACAGTTGTAGGTTGCTGATAACAAGCAAAGAGGAATACTTTAGACCAATATTAATTCAGGGGAAGAGTAACCTGGAATTTCGCATTACAAAAAATATCTAAGGGACATGAATGTTCCACTGAGGTTATCTATATATTATCCATCAACAACAACAAGTCTAGTACACTGAGTAAGCATTTGCTCATGGGAATTTTATGAACATATGCTGAGTCATTCGAGATATTTTTGAGCTTCTATATGAAAACAGAAGTAGCAAAATGTATAACAGAAGTGTGCACTGGTGACTTGCCTTAAAAAGCTGCATGAGCAGATTTTCCAAACGTGATCCTTTATGCAAGTTTAGGATAAGTTATGAAACGGCTAAAAGTAAGGTACAGAACACTCAATACTGCAGTTTGATCTTTCAAAAGTTCTGTTAATGTCAACAGTCCCAGCAATAGACGGTTTTTAACCAGCATGGTATACTTTTCTGGAATATAAAAAAAATACTGGATTGCATTAAGAGTAAAAAATGATGCACCAAGGGTTTTGGCTCAGATTAATTCCTACAGCTAATAGTCCTGAAGTTTGCTAAGCCAACTGTAGTCTGTTTTCCGTAGTTTCTTTAATTCCTTTTCCTCAGACCTTGAAAGCTCTGGTGCCTGCTCCTCTAAGAGGTACTCTGTTTTGAATTCTTGCAGATTATCCAGCGAGTCCATTTCCTTTTCTGAATCATCATCTTCCTCTTTGTCACTGTCCATATCCTCATCTATTTCCTCAGAGACTTCTCTTTAAGAGAAAAAAAAGAATAAGGTCAACTCACTTGTATTAAAGAAATACAAGTGTGTGAATCTTGTACTACTCACAACTAAAGGTTTCAGGTCTATGACATTTGATCAGATTTTAAGAACTGAATCAGACAAGCTGAAGAAATACAAGACCATAAATACCCAATTTGTGGGCCAAACCATATCCCCAGCATTACAAGAAACGCTCAATTTGTTAATAATGTAGTTAGACTGAAGATTGATATATTTAGTACATACCTTGTCAAAAAATAATTAAATGCAACACTTTCCCCTGATTATAACAGTATTTATATTGGAGGATGCAACATTTTTTTCTTAGTATTTTATCCAACATACTTCCATGGCTTTATTATAAGAAGTACAATGGTTTGTTAATGACCTGTAATCTTGAAGTTAACAATGCATTTTGTCCAGGTTTCTCTACTGCTTCAGATATACATCTTTGAGGTTTTCAACCATATTAAAAATACTTAGATCTGGTAAACCGCCTCTCTTGCAAAAAGCCAACTTACCCATTTCCATGCTTGCAGATCAGCAAGGAATTCACAAACATTGTACACAGGAATGAAGCTGAGGGCAAAACATAGGCTGGAGTTTGAAGCAACTGAAATGAGATGAACAGATTTTCCCATTTATCATCATGCAACAACTTCAAACTATACGATTACTTTAAAACGAAAATGCTTAAGATCTTAATAACTGAGGTATGTCTTCCCTAAATAAACATCCACATTTTACTAAACAAAACTGCTATTTTTTGTCAGGTGCAAAAATACTGCTACTTTGCTTACTTTATCTAATGTCACGTTAACACGGGGAACATTCTCTTCCTTACACAAATCCTTATTCAGCAGCACTGTTTCAATACAAAATGTATTACTACAGTTCAGAAGCCACTGAATGACTGGATTTGAGTGCTCACCTCTTTAACTGCAACTGTTCCTTGTGGATTCTGAACCCGAGCTGCTAGCTGGTCCTTCTGTTTATCCAGATCAGTCTGATGCTGTTGTCTGTGTCTCCCCAACAGTAGGGAGAATGGAGTGACAGGAGTGCTCTCATCTATTGAAAGCTGAACCACAAAGGAGCATTTAGAAGAGAAATACGGTAAAAGAAATTCTGCTTTATGGTAATGTAGGCACTATGAGTGACAAGTAAGAATGTTATGGGCAATCATACAACTTAATTTCCATGCAGAGAATATAATAAAAATCATACGTTTTCATAACCATTATGCCGTCAACTTAAAAGTATTTTTGGAGAAGCACCTCGAGTTAAAAGGAAAAAAAGGAATTCCAAGAAAAAAACAACAACATACCAATATACGTACAATAGAAGGAGAAATGACAGTGTACGAGTGTAGGAAGACTGATATCTGGGAAGTTATGTTTTCATTCAAAGATGCAAGTGAACATACCTGTTTGTTTGAGGCCACTATCCAGTCTTCTTCTGATTTTGTAACGAATGTCATCAGATCCTGAAAAAAACGACAACAAAAGTAAACGATAAAAAAAGTGATTTACTGTCTGCATAGGACATTTAAACAAGGTACATTTATAAGATATAAAGAGATTTGTGCCATGCTTGATATTCAATTTGTAAATTTAAAACTAATTCCCCGTAAGAATACACAATTACGAGGGATGCGTTCTGGGTCTACTCCATAACTGAACATATAAGGTTCACACAGTTGTACTATAATTCATACCGCTTAAAAATGCTACAAGTTATTTTTAAAGTAAATGTTAATACTAATCAAATCAATATAAAGATTGTTAGTGGGTGGGTGTGAAAGACATCTTGACTGCATATATCTTTGATTTTTTACTCACAGTGAAACTTAAATGTCATTCATTTGGTATTTTCATAAGTAACATTACAATTGTGTTCTTTATTGAGTATTTTAGGCGATTATTGTAGACTTTCATTGAATCCTTTTACTCATCGAATGCTAATCATCTTTTGTTCATCGTTCAATTAATATTTTATTGACAGTCTTGCATTTTAAAGATTTTGTTAGCACCGACTTTTTCTTTGATGCCTACGTTTGTGTATTAGTGTCTAAAATACTCTGTGAAGTTGCCAGAAGATTAATTCTTCAAGAGGTGTACATTCTTGAGGCACAATAAACTAAAAGCTTGCAAAATAAGAGCACATAACTCAAGAACAACCTACATATAACGGGTGATCCTTCAAGATGCTACAAATAGCTATATGAAAGTTGGAAGTCTTTGGCAGAATCACTATTATTAATAAGTAACAATAACTACCTTTACATTTTCACCCCAAAGGTTCTGAGTGCTCCATATGTAATAGGGAACCCAGTTCATGCATTACTGAAGTAGGGCAACTTGAGTGTTGCAAAATGTGTTGTGTAGTAAGGATGCTGGCACATCAGGCAGAGAAGTGAAACAGAATAATAAGACATATAACAACAGTGTAATGACCTAACAGATGTAAAATAAAGACCTGAAACTACAAAAATCTCAAGATCCCAACTGTAAGCAGAATTGTGTTCTGAAATGCTCTTCCTGTTTTAACAATCCAGGACCTGAAACTACGAATTATTTCAAATGTAAGCTCTACCACTTTACGCAACAATCAAAAGGTGAGTTTTTTTTACCATGTGCTCTGAAAGGAAGTAGAGTCGGGATCTGTTCAACCACTGGCTGCTCTCTGAGCAGTTGTCCTCTGCCGCCTCTCGGGGAGCGAAGACTGCGCGCTGCACTTGGCCGAGACACACCGCCTTGTGGACATACAGGGGCCGCGGCTCGCTCGGTTTGAACACGAACACTGAGGGGAAACGCAGCACGTTTATTTCAGACGGTGGCTTTCACTGCTTCGTGACACACCGTCAAAATATGTGTGTCTTAAAAAACCCTCTCTCCCATATTTAAAAAAATTCGGCTTGAAGGTTTACATTTCGAAATTTTAAAAAAGTGCAAAGGTAAGGTAAAAAAGGTAATCAGGTAGGACAGCGATAACTCTTAAAATTCATTCAGCTTTATTTAAATCATCCAACTGAACTACAGTGGTGGTTTAGTGTGCATGGTGCTTTGAAAAAAAGCACAAAATTAATATGGGTTAAGAAAGACGTTTTCAGCAGCCTAAAAGAATACAGGATTCATACTCACAGTCAGAGCTTCCAGATGCAAATGAAAATGCAGCAATGTTTTCAGATAAAGGATCAGCCTCAAGACAAATGACATTTAAATCTGCGCTCCATTCCACTTGGGGGAAAATAAAAACAAACATTAAGTTTTAATATCAGCTAAACGTAATTGATGACAATACAACAAAATGTTTTTAGAGCACTTACATTTACAAGTCAGCAGGTTCCAACAGCAAAGTAAGTTATTAGTGGTGGTACCAAGGAGGTACTTTGAACAGCTTAGCCTCCCAAAACAAAGTTTCCTACAAGATCAAAAGAGTCAGTTTCAACAACTATTTCAGCCCATGACAAAGTGGTTTACAAAGTTACAAATTACAAAATTACAAATCACAAAGTGGTTTAATGCATTAAACAGATTGCAGCCATTAAACTGTGACTTTAATCTGAGATGCATACTTCACTAGATTACTTCAGTACATATTAGAATTTTTAAGTTAAATTAAAAATTAGAACTGAATTTCTGTTTCAGTCTAACTACAATGTCCTGAGGATGCACATAGGGAATAACTTACAGTAACAAGTTTAATTGTAACTGCTGCACACAACACTGAAAAATAATCTGCAATATTGCTGATTCATGCTTTACAGCAGACACAGAAATAACATCAATCAATGAAAGGCATTTTTTACATGTTGATTTGACACAAAAACTGCTTTAACTGCTGGTTATATTATATATAATTTCATTACAGCACTAGTAACATTCAAAGATGCACTTATAAATAATAGGAACAGCAAGATGCCTCAATATTTTTTAACATCAGGCAGCAGATGTAATCAAAGCCTTTTCACTTCTCACTACAAAATGTAGCTTGCTCTTGAAAACCAACATTAGATATGAGTAAATTCTTTGTTGACTAAATTCCTTGTATTGCCAACTTCCTTAGGTATTCCTTTATTGATTGAATATGATCCAGAGGAAGCATATAATAGTGATCTGTTATTTTAAGACTGCATTTAATTTTCTGACTATAGACACTTTTCTAAATCAACTCAATATTTACCAGTCAGTGAATTAGTTTCAGAATATTTAATACATAAATTTTTACACCATGCAACAATACATTGGGAGTCAGAACTGTGCAGCGATTGGGGAGTATATATTATCACCTTGCATATTTGACCACATTAGTACTATCACATGCTTTCTTAACATACACATGAAATCCACTTGGTAAAATCAAGGCATTCCTTGAATTCTGATTTTCTTTTCCGATTATTAATGAGCCGGAAACATAGCAGAGGTGAGAATTAAAATAAAATAACAAAGGGTTTCCAGCTTTCCAACTCAGCGGCAAACTTGTTATAATCTTGCACAATAAGCATTTTAAACTCCTATAATACCATGCAAGAAAGCTCAACAGAAACTAGAGCAGAGTTCATTTCAGGTTGCAAGACTTTGGAACTCACATGCTTATAATTAGGTGACATGCTTGCAAAGTGGAAAGAGACAGCCAGAGCTGGCCTGAGAGCATTTTGGTTTGAATAGCTCTATCCTGATCTACTAAATGTTCCTCAATGTTTTATACGTCTTAGACTGTAAAACTAGAAGGTCAGTTTTAACTACTTTTTAACAAAATAAATTTACTTAAATTGCTAATAGGTGGAACAGTGGAGGGGAATGAAATAAACTGTTATATAAACCTTTCAGGAATGTATTTTTTTAATTTATCTCCTTATTTAACAAAACATCAAGCAGACTGGTCTTCCTTCTTAGCAAAAAAAACCCATGGATTGCTTTGTTTCTGTTTTTGGGAAAAGAAAAAAGCCTTTATTTTTAGACCTTATTTTCCCTGGAGGCTGACAGAATGTGCACAGGAGGTCCCAGGAGTCAGGGTTCCATATGGTGACGATCTCTTGGAAACTGACAGCCAGCAAGGAACCATCTGCAGAGAAGCAACTGTTTGTGACACTGAGATTGTGGTAGCTGCCCACAAAGTCACAAGTCCAGCACGTTTCCTGATCTGGAGACAAACAAAAACGTGTTTAAACGTCATTTTTCTTTAACACATAATTCTTTGGTCTTCTTCTTGAGAAAGCTATTAAATCTTCTATTAAATCCTGAACTAAGCTGTCTGAAACAAACAAAAAAAAGGTAATAGATCTTTAGTTTGAGATATATTTCTGGAACTAAACGCTCACGTCATGCAATGCATGAAACTTTAGCTGTGAAACCAATTTTGATCACTTAGGATACATACCAGAATTCTCTCCCAAGAGCCAGGCTTTAAACTGCCCATCCTTTCCTGCTGTCACCAACATGCTGGTTTCGTTGGCATTGCAGAAACAGAGAGCTGTGATCTGACCCTCATGTGGGGATGTTACTGTGGTATTCAGCACAAAGCTTAAATAAAAAAATAAGAGTATTAATTTTGCACATTTAAAATCCCCCTTTCTGATAATGAAGTCATAAAAAAGAAAGTTATGTACCCAGGTTCATGGCATTCAATCTACTGATCTTTGTCCTTGTATACAAGACATTAAGGAGGTAATTCATACATGGTTTAAACATTTAACCATGTTCCTGTATCATGACAACAGTTATAGTTAAAAAAATCAAAACGAGTTGGTATTCAAGTGAAAGAGCTCAAGTAGGGAGATGGAGCTGATGGTAAAGGGTGCTGTGACAATGGCTTGAGGAATTTGAGAGCTTGAAATCTGCACTTCCCCTAGAGAAGAGAATGGATGCTTTTAGGAGCAGGGCTTGTTAGAAAGACTCCACTGGAGGACATGGCATGATCAGTGCTGAGATGGTCATCACCACATGAGAGTAAAAATGCAAGGGAAGTGAGTATTATCAAGGTTCAGAAATGAACCTTGTTTACACCAGCAACACATAGTGAGATACCACATTTTGTTTAAAGTCCAAAGGTAGAAAAGGTGTGTGGAAAAAATTCCAAGCACTCAGCAGCACATTATAGTAACACCAAGACACAGTTGAAATCAATCATAACACATAAAAGGAGGTGCGTCTCAGTAACACTTATTTTTTCCTGAGAGAAAGGAAAAAGCCTACTTGCGAACTATAAATTCAAATTTATGTTTTGTGGAATTTTCTGATGTTTTCAAATGTCAAGACTTAGAAATTAATAAACTACCAAACGGACTAGACATGCTGAAAAATTACAAATAGAGGCGATTCTTGTATTCAAACAGAATACGTCACACGCGAAAAGCAAATAATTAAATCATACATATGTTCACTTTAAATCTTCTTACTCGTTATAACTCTTGATTTTATATTCCAAAAGAACAATTCTGTTACATATTTGAGAAAAATCCAAAATCAGTAAGAAAGGAATCTGTAAAATTGATAGATTTCCATTTTGCTGTTAAAACTGATGCAGAATTAATGCTGTGAAAAAGGGTAGACTTGTTATCTGTACTGCAACAAATATGCAAAGCTCCCATCATCATGCAAAACAGCATAATCAGCAGTATGAAACTAACCTCTGTGTCTGCTCGTCATAGCCCCACATTTTCAGTATCACCTCCCATTCAGACAACTTGTTTTTCCTTTCTTCAACAGTTGCTAACCAAGAACCTTGGGCATCAAATGCAGCTTTGACCACTTCAAACTGCTGCAGGCCTGACTCATGGATATACTCCTGTTGCACTATGTCAAGCTGTTAAGAAAATGTACAAAAATAACATCAGAACCAAAAATCTATCCTTTACTCAAAACACAAATTATAAATTAACAATCTTCTAATTTATTGTTATAAAGTAATCTTCGTGTAATGCAATCTCTTTTTTTCCCCCCGATAACCTCATTTTAAAAACAATGTAAATAATGAATTATTTCAACCTTTGATGGAGTGAGATAAACAGTATTTTTTATCACATTATTAATTATAGAAGCTTCCAGGTATACTGGAAACTGAATCATACATTGTGCCTTACATAGGCAAATATTTTTTTTCTGTCTAAATGGTAAGCAAGATTTTAGATGTGTCATGCACGACATGGCTTTATGGTTGCAAGAGTCATTTTGAAGTGCAATTAAAACATCTACTTACATTATACAACTGCTTGTCGTGCTGGAGAGAATAAAAGAGCAAATGTCCAGGCTTCCCATTTAGCACTAATGCTTTACTTCTTGGGTCAATCATTAAATTGGTCTTGATATTATCTCCTTGAAAAAATGAGTCAATAAGTTAACTGGTGGTGATCAACTTCTTGAACAGAAATTCTGTGTATATATATTATTCTATTTACATACCTTTAACCAGGCCTTGGATTACACCAATGACTTTCAGGTTACTCTGGATAATTGTGATCTCTGACGGTTAAGAAAAGAAACAATATTTTTTCAGCTTGACTAAAATCCAGTGCCAGGCAATATTTCCAGAATGCTAAGAACATGTCAGCAGCTTTTTAAAGCCAAAGCACATTTTACTCAAAGCTCACTCCAATTATATTTAACAAAAAGTCTTGAAGTGAAGCCGATCTCTAAGCCAAACAAACCTTAGAATATAAAAAAAACTTTTCTTTTTAGATGAGAACAGTTCTGAAGTATTGCTTCAATATTTCAAGAGTTCAATGGTAAGAAAATATGCACAATAGAGAAATATGAAAAGAGACTTAAACATTAAAAGTAGCAGAGAACAAAAGCCTCACTATTGTCGCTGTGAGAGGTGCAGTACAGCACTCCATCTGGAGAAGCACAGACATATTCAATAGCAGCTCCCAGACGAGGCAGGAAATCCTTTCTAGTTTCTTCTCCATAGCGCCACTGTACTAACACTGACTCTATTCCACCACTCAGCATATTAGTACCTGGGAACACATTCAGAAAAACAAAGTTTTTAGTTAGTAAGCAAGAAAAACAATTATAGTAAATTTCACTTTGGGTTAAAGTTTATACCCTATAACACTGTTAAATACTGTTATTTAAAGACCTTACCTGCAGGTGTGAAAGACAGATCCTTTACAATATTATGGTGCCAGTGCTGTGTGGAGTATGTGTATTCCTTTTTCTGATTAAAATTTCTCCTGTAAACAAGATACATAAGTTATCCAAATTTACAAGTTACTATAATTCACACTTTTTTCAGATGGAGTATAAATGTGATCAACCCATTTGATGTTAAAACCTGCTTAATATCAAATAAAGACATATACAAATCTTTACCAGATCAGATGGCCTATGATTCAGAACTGAAGGCTGAAATTCCCAGTTTTCTAGTATTTGGACATATATAAAATAATAAGCTGGATGGCAATTCTGTAAAGGAAAGAGTTTCACACCAACACCTGACGACATTTACATCTACATTTGAATTGGAAACAGAATTGGTTTGAATAAATACCCACCATAAAAACACTTCAAGTCAGAAAATGCTTGTCTGGTCTCAAAAAACATACCTAATCTTTGGACAATAAAAGATGTGGCCAGGTGATATTCTAAATAACCATTAACTTATCAACCCTCACAGTTAAGATGCCATGTTCTTTTTTTTAAGCCATTTTTAATTAATCAAAATTTAAGTCACAACCAACTTAACTTAGCCATGCTTCACTGGCTGCATCAGATCCACGAAACTATGAAGTATCTCACTGCTAACATGAACATCCTACCTCTTTAAACAATAAAACAATATCAAGTGACGATAAAGACAATTATTATAATAATATGTGTGGTTCTGGATGTTTTCTGTAACTCTATGGAATTATGCTGGAAAAGTGTCTTCCAAGAAAAGTACATCAATCAAACCTGTCAATGATCAGTGTTGCATATGCACAGAGTGCTACAGGAATAGTGTGGGACTGGAGTGGCTGTGTTGAAAAAAAAATAATCAATGAATCCATGTGGGGAAATTATAAAACAAAGAGCAACTGCCAATAACTTTTTATAATTCCATTCAGAGATAGATTTAAACCATATTAACTTTTGTGGCTGCTGCTTTACATAATCCTTCTTTGCAAACTGCCTCCATCTGTGTACGACAGACAAATGTAATCAGATCTCCAGGTTTCCAATTAAACTAATACATAATCTTAATAAAACCTATTGCATTCTAACCCTTTTGACTTTATTTCGGCACTATGCCAGGACAGCACAAGTCAACGGGTTTGATTTTAGAGAGGTCAAAATGGGACACTGATTTACAAACTTATTATCAAAAGTTGTGATGGTCAAAAAGTTAAGGTGCCAGCCTTTGGAAGCTTTTAAAGGCAAATGGGTTCTCCTTTCAAACCCTGTTCACAGAATTAGTGATTACTGCTCTTGAGAAGTCTATATTTGTAGTGGATACTCTGCATGAAATGTCTGTCTGTCAAACGTTTCAGTAGTGGAATAATGACTAGGGTTCTAGAATCCCTCCCAAGACAGTTGGGGACACTACCCTTGACCTATATGTCTACTGCACTAGAGTTTAGTATGATCTAATGTGTACTGGTTAATAGCTGTCAATCTAGAGGTATTGTTACTGTGAATTACACAAATCAATTTTGTTTTAAATGCTACTATATCTGAAACTTATTTTTAAGCGATGAAGAATCCTAGTTCATCACTCATGGGGCACCAGTGGGCCATTTTCCACCAGCAGAGAAGTCAAACTGTAGAGTCTCAATGATGCAATGTTTACAATAATGCAATATCCAGGTTGAAGCAATCTTAACTAGTAACAGAAACTTCCACATTGAAAAATATCTAAACCGAGCCTCAGATTGTGAAACGGTATGCAAAACTACAATCTTTAATCAAATAAAATTGCTAATGTTTAAGTGGTTGCAATTTCTTGGAAGTTAAGATGACAACATTTAAAACCCAATTTTGCAAAACAGTTACATGAATTTGCAGGAGTTTTGGGGGTTTTGATAAAGGATACAATAACGTCATATTTAATTTTTTGTGTTGTTTTTACCCCCAAGGATGGTGTTGCAATCAAACTTTTAATAACATTTACTTGTTTTAACAACACAATAAAAATCAAAGGTGTACAATCTTAAACATTTCAGATTAATACCTGGTGGCTACAACTACAGTGACTCTTCTGATTAATACACCCATACTTTTTTCAGCATGAAACCTAAATATATGGCATCTTTACTGTGGAAAAATCAGCAAAGCAAAACTTTCATGGCTGTACATACCACAGCCTTATCTTCCCATCTTCATGGCCAGTGGCTATGCAGTCCTCTTTTGGGTGACAGGTAACACATGTGAACATATTCTTGGCTCCCTTTTTATCAGTAGCTTTTAAAGCCAGCCTTAAGGGGGAAGTCAGAGAATTAACATCACTGCAATGTTTATACTATGTGAGGTAAAGGGGAATATAAAGACAAATATATATATATGAAAAATAGTTTAGAAAAAGTTAAGGATATGGACACTTAATAAAATAAATAAGTTGTACATTTTATTTTAGTTTTTGTTTAAGAAGCCACTGATCTGAAGATAAATCATAATACAAACAAGACAGATGATCAAGTTGACAATCTTGGTCATCTTGTGCCTCAGTCTTGGAGGTCAGGAAATGACTATAATTCTTACTATATTACAGTAAAACTAATGTAATCACAAATGAATAAATACATTTAAAAAATGTTGTATATTTTTGGATAAAATGGATCTCCTTTCTAACTTCCCACAAAGTCATAAAAATTGTAGTGGGGAAGGCTTTATAAGATAAAAGGAACAATTACCTGTAAGTCTTTTGTTTCTTGAAGAAGTACACAGACATATGTAGACCTTTCACAGAAGCAATATATGTGCCCTGTACAACAAAGGAAAAAAACCCAGATTAAACCCGTGTATAAATATACAGGAATAAAAATAAGTCCAATCATATTCAATTTTGAAATATTCAACTACTACATACACAATACATTTCAACAGGAGAATAAAAAGTGTCATTCTTACACATGCTCAGATTTTATAACAGCTACAACTGTATTAAAATACTTTTTATAAATGATAGATTGCACTGTATTTTAATAGGTCTGTCAGTCATGTGCTGCGTCATCGCGGAGATGATTTTTCAGTTGACCCCAAAGGTCAATTCTCACAACTGAAGAGAGAGTTTGAACATGTGAAGCGATGCGCATCTCGTACCCCTCTTCCAAAAGAGGTTGCCTTTGGGGCAGGGTTGACATTACTTAACAGGATGGACACATCTCTGGCTTCCACCTCCTGGTCGGACACTTTTGGAAGCTGAATAGAAACCAACTGAAAAGCCTCTGCCAAAACAAGACAAAACCAAATGTCAAAAACATCTGCAAGTAGCTCTTAGTAAAAGGAGCAACAGATCTGGTACAAATTAACTTCAGAAGGCATCTATCTATTAAGTGTGCATATAGCAGTAACTAATTTGTCACAGCCTTCACTGGGAAGGATAAGTTAAGGTGGATTCCTAATATGACATTCCAGTGGAGTATTAAAATTGGGATGATTAATGGGGACTATTTCGGGCTATCACACACTGGCACAAGTCCTGTGTACCTTAAAGCACAGGATGTTCTTAAAACTAATGATTAACACAGGAGATCACGCTACTATTCCCTTGTATGCTTTTGAAGTTCTGCCCTTGATATAACACTGCATGGCAGACTTATTTAAACATTTTAAAATACTGGGGTCTCTTGATGACACAAAGGGGGTCCTCCTGGCAAACAGAAAAACCAGGAACTTATTGCAATAAGAATTATATTGATGGATATGAAACAATTTAGAATTTCTGTACCAAGCACATATTGTTTGGTCTAGTTGTTTACATTATCCTGTAACAGACAAGGCATGGCATCTGAACAGTTGCCAAATTTAAAAAAAATGCTTTTGCAACAAATATTACATAGAAGACAATATTACACTTGTGAAAGACTTCAGATGATACTGAAAGAATGTGCATTATGGCTCTGGTATATACACCTATATGTACCTCACATGGCTGAAATAAAAATTTGATACACATATAGTGTTTTGACATTTGTGCAACATCTAGCAGATTTAAACATCCCCTCTCAGCAACTGTTCAAATATAATAAAAATGTAACTTGTTTTTTTTCCCCAAATAAATACAAAGTTAATTACTGGCCACTAGTAGGTATGCAGTCAGCATTTGTTTTTGTCAGTCCCACCCACAGAAACAGTAGATTTTAAAATACTGCCTAAAAGGATATACAAGTAAGCCTTTAAATACAAAGAAAGGCTGCACTAAAGGTTTAAACTAAAATCACTGGCACTTGTTACTTAGTGCTGATATTCACATACTTGAACTACCTTTCAGGACCAAATCAAGAAAATATAGTAAATAATTAACCACTGCATGTGGGTTTTGAGTCAGTTAATTAATTTCCTGTAGACATGACAACAGAAAAACCTGACCAGTGATTTCAGTTACACTCACTGATGATATAATGACACTTGCTCTCCGATAGGCAAAATATCAAAAACTCTCAGTTATTCTTTGCATTTGTCTGTCATTACTGATGCAGAAATTCTACACTTTTTTTCCATCCAGCTCCAGACAGTGCCATAAGTAGTGTCTGAAGTAGCAGTAACAAAAAGGATTAACAATAAGAGAATGAGAGACTAATATCTATCTTTAATTGCCACAGACAAGAAAGCAGATTCCAAAATGCCTTAGCCTATACAGTTTCATTTATTGAAGAGGATCTAGTATTTTTTCTAAAAGCATTCTTACCACTGTGCCTTTTAATTAAACAGCACCACATTAAAGCAAACATGTAGTAAGGTAAGGAACAAGAATAGGTTAATTACATGCTGAAAAGAGAAGAGAGAGAACATGTTTAGGCTGTGGAGCCTTCTTCAGGTGTGAGCTCACTGCGTTTTCTCTCTTATCTTTTCAGCAGGGAATAAACCCATTTCTTGTTCCTTTGCAGACTACGCATGCTGACACAGCTACCCACCTGAACCACATGTAGTAAGGTAGGTCATTTGTTTCACTGTTACTGTGCATGCCACTTGAAATCAAAGAGTTATTTACTTGCATGAACAACCATTCATGTTTTAACAAAAAGGAAGATAATGAACTTATTATTTAGTAGTAAGCTGTATCAGTTAAGGAATGACAGTGTTTTGGTGTCTATTCATATCAATCCTATCCTGATTTAGGAGTACAATGTAAAAACATGTCTGCTCCAGATTTGAATAGGATTAAAAACATCCACAACTCCAGCAAGAGGACTGCATTAATCAAACCATCATTTGGTTACTGTGAAGAATTAAGTCCAATGTAGAAATGAGCAATCAACAAGCAAATAATCCTGAATCCAATATTCAGACACATTTTATAATAGAAAAATTAAGCCAGAAATGGCTTTAAATTTTACCTGATTCTTTGTTGCTTTCCATGGGGATGATGAGAAAAACTGTTCCTTCATGGTCAGGTGAGACATACAGGGCTAAGAGTTTGTAGCCAATTACAAATGTCTAAAGAAATAACAAAATACAATTACACATATGCATACTGCACAAGGAAAGTAATTAATTTAAGTAATTGTTAAGTGTGGAACAATGCATTACCTTAATCAGAATGCCATCAGTGAAGTCCCACAGCTTAACAGTGCCATCTACAGAGCAGGAATAAACCTGCAAATAGAAGGGTTAAAAATCTCCTGTTAAAATACCTAAACATAGAAAGGATGCACAAAGGACACAAGGTCTTATTTTACCCATCCTAGGGAGTGCCCCAATCACGTACTGTCAATGTGGAAGACACAAGAATTCATTTGAGTCTTCTTGAAGTAGAGCTTCATTAAAATTTTCATAACACTGCAGTTACTGCTGTCACAAATACGAACCACATTTAGTTCTTAAATATTGATACAACTTTATAGAACACAATGACAAATCATACAATTGATCCTTCCTCAGGGAACTTTCTGCTGAAATATCAGCTAGTATGTTGCCTGTAGCAGCAAAACTAGCAGTGTAGATCATCTTGGAATGGACCAGCAATGCACCAATTTTCAATAGCGACTTACAGGTACTGTAGACCACACTGCAAAAACAGTCTCACCATTACACCTCTCACCATGTCACATGCAGGGATCTCATGATAAAAAAACACATTACGTGTAACATGGATGGCCAACCATGGGTCTGGAGGCCCACAATCTGGTAGCTTTTATTAGCTATATCAATTATGAAACACTGAGACAAATTTTGTTTTCTTCGCTTATGCAAGAGAGTTGGTCAACACAGTAGCTTAGGGATCATTTTGAATTAGAATACCAGCATCTTTGCACTTAATGTCCAGAGCTGACCATTTCTAATTCAACTGAATGAATTTAGCAAACTGAACAAGCTCTCATGCTTCAAACTTTTACTCTGATCATCCTGACCTATAATAATTTACTAAGGCACTCCTCTTCTTGTTTTTTTAAAACCACGTGCACACTTTGAATCCATACTCTTGCATCTTTTCTGTCCATATGAGCTCTTTACCATAGTATTACATTAATTTGACTGGAAATTTGTCAAGACTCTTTCAACAGATTTTAAGGTATGAAATGCCATAAAGATAATCGGTAGTGTAGTACACATAGTAATTTGAACTATTTGAAATTTAATTATGTAAAAGAACTCAGTTGGAAAGAATCCAGCAGATGTGTGGGGATCTAGGGCCAAGCTAGGTAGTCCCAATATCTAAAAGGGGGGCCTGGACTTTTTCTTGACAATACAGTGCCTTGAAAAAGTATTCAGACCCTTGACCAATTCTCTCATTTTACTGATTTCAAATCCTACATTTAAATTTTGTTCTCTGTGATATTTTTATTTCAAAGCACTGAAACTCAAAATTAATTATTTTAATGTGACTGTTGTATTAGAAAATATTCTTAAGAAAAATAAAAAACTGAAATATGCTGTTTTCATAGGTATTCAATCCCCGTGTTGCAGAAGCACTAAGTTTACACAGGTCAAAAACACTTGCCCTAACGAGGACACAATTGCCTTACAATTGGCCTCTAACTGTGAATCTTTAAAATATCTGCCACATTATCTGGATAAAAACCCCACAGTGCTTAGAAATAAAAAAATATCACAGAGAACTAAATTTCAATGTAGGATTTGGAATTCAATAAAATGAGAGAAATGGTCAAGGGTTTGAATACTTTAAGGCACTGTATATCCCAAAAGGCTCCCCAAGATCAACAATCATTAGGTAGTCAGTAAAAGAACTGAGATTAATAAATTAATTATGTACACTTTTAGTGCAAAAAGAAAAGTGAAAAGAAAATGACAAGTGTGTAATTGGGTAGAAACACAGACGACCACGAGACGTCAATTGCACGATGAAGTGGTGCAGATTCATATACACTCGATGTACACTAAATGCCTGGAGGCAAACGGACCTGGAGGTGGTTTGATGGGTTTAAGGCAATGCCAGTAACAAGGTCCGAGTGTCCGTGTAGGATGCGGACACATTCTTCTGTCGCGGAGCTGTAGACTTTCACCGAATCCCCTGACGAGCAAAGCAAGAACCTGGAACATGAACGTTTATAGTTATGCAATAAATATGCTAATGTTCCATTCACAAACACCTCTGGCCGTGGAAGGTCAACGCGTCACCTGAAGAACTGGGAGATGGTGTTACAATTGGTCAAATGATTTAGCTCGTCAGAACGAAAACCCGCAATCATACCGGCCTCCCAGGAACAGGATTGGGCTCCCCAGATAGACCCTTTGTATTTAAAGAAATACTATCCACATCTGTGCAGGCAAGTGTGCCATCTCTTAAATAATATTTCCATTGTTGCTCCAGAAACCCAGTAAACGAAAATTGTTCTATACAATGATAATTTCCACTTTGAGAAAAAAACAAATCAAAACTGTATTTCCAGGAAACAAAGATTACTGCTTTTACCAAGCAAAACCATATATTTAAATGCCTTCTATTATTCAATCTATATGGCTTTGAATTTCAACAGGCGCAATACAACTTGTATGACAAAAAGTTTGGGCTCTGCGACACTACCGATGACGTTAATGAGGAATAAAAGCTCCACGTTTACATAAAACATTGTTCATATATTAATATCCACAAACATAACTTATAACATATTATTATTACCACCTCATAACTTATTACGGTCTTCCAACGAGTAAACCAACCAGCGATTCCCATGTAAAATAATGCTTCGTTAATATTTTTGTACAAGTAGAAGATAGCCATTCAAGTATACGTAACTGCAGCATGTTTCGCAGATGCCAGAATTTGTATAAGTCAAAAATACACTCATCAGATTTACTAAAGCACTCTGTCTCTTTTTATAAAAACATGTTAACACTTACTTTGAATCTAGCGTGAAAACAGGTTTTCTGAAGTTTATTTTGCTACCACCACTCCGAACCACGCGGATTTCTCCGGGCTCCACCATCTTCTTTCCAATGTCTGAACTCTAACCTCTGCACTCTAACCCAGCCATCGCCACAAAAACAGGAAGTGCAGTTACGCGTGGTTAGGTTTTCTTAGTAGAGTCTTCTTCTCAAGTGAGATGTAGTATTTATTCGTCTTTAAACAGTTCTGTAATTTAACTACGATATTAAATTTGGGTATTGCTTTCTTCATAGTGTACTAAACATTCCGTGAAATATGATTTGTTTAGCTATTTTTTGCTTGATAAGCTACTGCTAAGAATTTGGAGATACAGCGAGTAGTATTTCTGCTGCTGTGAGACAGTATTGTATATAGTATATGGACATTTTCGATTTATTTAACTGTACTAGGACGCATAATACGCCTTAACTTGTGGACTGTTTTCTTATGTAACTGAAAACCTTTAAAGATAATGCATACCAATGGTGTTGATGATATTCTTTCATCACTTTATTTTATAATAAATCCGTAGAAAATTCACAGGGCTATAGTTGATTTTTTTGGTTAGTGTAGACGATTACTAATAAACTTTCCGAATGAAATTGTTTATTGCTGAAATTAATTAGTATATGCATTAACATTTTTTATTACTTTCATCACGATATTTTAAACACTTGTGGTTTAACCTTAAGGCGATAAAATAATCCATTGTTCTGGTAAACCTTAAAATCTTACCTTCCAGCTCTTCACATTTTTCTATAGGGTTATGTGAGTGAAATAGTCTAGAAAGAATCTTGCAAGGCAACACATGGGTGTTGCATTTTTAAAAGACCTTGTTATACCTTATTTTATTTGGGTAGGGTAGGATGCAGTAAAATTCTAGGAATTGCTGCATTATGTCCAGATTTTTTTATATTTCACTTTTGATATTTTTTGTGATTTAGTACAGTAAGCCCTTTCAGTTTTCATCAGAGAAAATAACAAGGGAATTAGAGACAAGATTTCAAAATCCTCAAAGCCATTGACAGTGCCAGTCCAGGGTCTTTTTCTCCTATACTTTGTCTGCAATACTTTTGAGGATTTTAACTTGTCTTATGTATCCTCGTAATCTTGTTTAAGACATAAAGGTTCAGGTACTTCAGTCTGTTAGTGTACTATAGGGCATTTTCTAAAGCCCTGGAATGTATCTACTCTTCTCTGAATGGATTCCAGAGCAGATGTATCTTTCTTATAATATTGTGACCAAAATTGAAAATGGTATTCTGAATGAATATTGTCTAGATGTAAATGATTTGTCAACATAAACACCTAATACTTCTTCCTAAATAGCCTCTTCTAGCTCAGAGTTACCCATTTTGTATTTAAATTTTGTTTTTGCTACCTGCATTTCAGACCCTTCAGCTGTCTTAATTAGACATCATTTGCCAAGTAAAGGTTTATTAATAGACCTTTACCTGTTCCTTAGCAGCCTACGCATGCTGACGCAGCTACCTACTTGAAAATCATCAGCCAAGTGTTTGCCCAGTCTTGCATTGTACCTAAATCCTTTTGAATTGCATTTACTGTTTCTGTTTGAAAATCATAATTTGGTATTGTCAGAAAACTTGTCCAGTTGATTTATGATACCAAAATCTAGATCACTGATAAACATTAGGAAGAGTAGCGATCCTTGTGGTAGTCCATTTATTACAGTTTCGAAATCATATAATTTCTTATGAATGGGTAGTACATTAGCAATTCTCCAGTCCCTGGGTACTACCCCTGTCTTGAGCAGCTGATGGACGAGTGGTGTTAATAGCTTATGAATAATATCTAATTTCCTTGACTACTTATTAAGATGAATTAATTGACAATTAGTAAGATAACATTAGGCAATGGAGATATATTCATCTTGAGTGCTTCTAATATTCTTCTGCGCTCTTAAACACTTCTGTCTACATTTTTTATTATTAATTTTAGCACTCTTTGCCATATTCCTTTTCATTTCTCACTTGTTCTAATATCTTTTTAAACTGTGCTTGCAATCCGTTGTACTCATTTTGTTTAATTGGATGCTGTTCTTTTTTATCATGTTATTAATGAAGCACTTTCTTTTTCTAATTTTTCCTAGTTGATTTGTTGATCCATTTGAGATTCTATTTTCAACCCTTGATAACTATTAAGATACATTTGCTGTTTTCTGTGTATAATTTCAAAATTGCTTCAAAACACACTAAAGGTTCTCTGCTGGTTCTCTCACCCGGTTGTCTCACTCAGTCTTGTTTCTTTGAAAGGACAAGATCTAAGCATTTCCCCCTGTAGGCGGTCCTACAAATTGGCTAAGATGAAAGTGTTTAATTAAATATTAATTGGATTGACATATCACTAGCAGTTGTTTTCTGTTTTATTGTCTATAATACAATATTATAATAAAGTATTGACCTCGTAGAACTCTTTCCAATAAATTTTTGAAACTGCAAAGCAGTTTTTAAAATTAATCAGGATTTCCTCCCATTCCTCTATGAAAACAACAATGGATTTTGCGTTTTCGACTGTGATGAAAAACCGCATGACTGCTTTGCAGAAATTTCATGTAAATTGCATCAATTGCTGGTAGGTCACTGTTCTGTTTTAACTGATCTTGCCACCAGAGGGCGATAGTGGGGAGCGTTTCAATCCACCCCCCTTCCTTTTTCCATCCGTTTCGCGATAACTGTATTTTTAATCCAGAGCCGCATCGCCATCCCAGCTCGTTTCATCGACGCTGGAATTCTGCCACCTATCCCTCCTGTTACCATGGCGCATCCATGAGAAGGGAGAGGTGGGACTCGGTTCTTCAAGCTCCATTTTACTTCAGCAGTTATGTCTCGTTTTCTCTGCTTTCTTTCGCCATGTCTGAGCTCCCTGCTTACCTGTTCTTGTCAGCGCTGTTAATTTTCTCCAAGGATGGGTTGATGGAGAGGGTGGAGGGTGCCAGGACCGCTGGTGGTCCTGCGGAGCTGGTGGACGACAATGTCAACTCCATCATCCAGGAGGCGTCCAGCAACGAGCAACGCCATCATCAGCACCAACATCAAGTGCAAATGGCATCAGTTTCGACATCAGGTAGTCATAGGTCTTTGTAATTTATGTTATTTCTTACAGCTGTTAATGTGGATTGAAATAATTGAATGGAATAAAATTGCGAAAATGGTTATGATAAAAAAGTGTTATGTATCCTGTTTAACGTCGCATTTCTGTTGCGGGTTATTGGCAGTATAGCACATTGAAGCAATTTGTTATGAAATATAACTACCATGCGTAATATTTCAGCAAACGATTACCCTATACTATTTCAGGTTTTTGAAGGAGAGATAATTTCACGTCGTTTTATTTTCAAAGTGGTTTCCTCGGGTCTTACATCAGCGTTGTATATTTTAAGCTTGTTACATGTTTACATCTGAGGTATCGTTTTGTGTCAACACTGCGTGAAGATCGGTGATTAAAGGGTTTCTACCTCATATCCCATTCTACAATGTCAGCAATAGGACACGCTGATACAATTTCTACAACATTATCTAACGAGCTGTTTTGATATAATAATTATTAAGAGAACGCGAAAAATACAAATCATCTCAGCTTGCCGTGTGTTGTTATTTCAGATGTTATTATTTTAATATCAAATTACTTACAGCTGAGTAAACAGCTAGTTTACCATGCTGAATTTCGGGAATGTATTGATTGTATATGTAATGTAGCTCAACGCCTGACAGTAGCGGAAACGTGTGCTATAGCACTTACTGGGTGACTAATGGAAATAATCTAATTTTATTGATGGATTATTCTATCCAACTGTCCACTTACAAGTCCACCGCATTCTTCTTTAGTTATTTGGTGAATTAATATTATTTCTTAGGATCCAGAGAGTGGTTATTTATATCCTATATAGTGTCCTCCTGATGTCTGCAGACTACAGTATATTTATTCATTCTGGCACAGTAAGTCATGAAGAGAAAATGTTAGACTCTGAAAACAAATGTGTTACTAATACTATCATGCAGATTCTCAGTGCAGTCTCCGGGGGTGAAGAGAAAAAAAAAAAAGGTACATTTCACATTAAGAGGCAGGTTATGTATGAAATTAAATAAAAAGTTAACATCCTACACTGGCTGTGCTTTGCCAGGATGATAGCTGTAACAGACCCTGTCCTCATGTAGGACAGTCACAAGGGTCTGCACACACTAAATTCACAATTGTCCAGAGAAGTGAGGTCAGAGAGGCTTTAGTGCCTGCAAACAAAAATCCCTCTTAGTATGGCTATCTGCAACAAATTAGAGTCCTTGTTACGGCCTCTAGTGGCAGAGTCGTTGTAACTGCAACTTGTCAGAACAGCTTTTTTAGAAAAATGTGGAACCTGTGTTTGAATGGCATAAAGTGTTTTTTTTTTCTCTGTTTAACATTACAAAAAGCCTCATGTTTTGAACTGGAGGCAATATTTCTCGGAATAATGATCAATATGTGTCTGAAGATTCTAGTAGCTGTATGGGGCCTAATATAAAGTCTACATTCTATGTATGGTACTGTATTACATTTCCACATACAGTATTTCCCTTAGGAATCTTACATTGTGGGCTGAAAGAATGTGAGTGGTGAGTGGTTAGATTCAGTTCCTGGCTCTTCCTGGAATTTATGATTTCGTGCAATGCAAGAATGAATGTAAAAAGACAATATAAAATTTCTTACTTGAATAATTAAAAAAAAAGTCTTGTGAATCTCCACCAATTCATTGCATTTGTTGCAGAAATGCCTGTCATTTTTTAAATGCATAAAAAATCAACTGAAATTTTCCCTTTTTCCCTCGTAAAGGAATGAAAAATATCATTACATTGGTTTAGGGCCTTGAGCATTTCTTGGAGGTAATATTAGTTTTAATTACCTTTGAACTAGAGTGCTTTCACTGTTATGCAATGTATAACTTTGCAGCCATTGTGCATGTTTAAAAATAAAATAAGATGAAAGACCAACATTCTAGATTAATCAGGCTGTGTCTTGGTATTTATTGTCTTAGAAAGCCAATCACATAATACAGCTTTTGCACTGTATACAGTATATATTGCCCTGTATAATGTTTAATATATATGTCCTCAGATGTGTTCCCAGGTAACTAATAACACAATATAAACTATAGGACATTTCCATTTCAGTGAGTTTTGAATCACAGCAATCCTACATATCACTGGCTATAGGATTAACTGTCATAAATTAAAGGTGACTGGATTAAGAAGGATTATCCATATTTTTAAACTATGCTGGGATTTCATGTGAATCAGTCAGTGAGGTTCTTCACCTGAATGTTCTCAAGGGTTTTAATTTGCAAATGTGTCTCTTCTTATCACACAAGCACAAGGTTAGAAAAATTGCCTTTTGCCAAAGTCTTTTAATTTACACAATGTACTCTATAAGTCATTTCCTCTAAGGATGTCATGAGCTAGCATCTTACTTCTTATAATCTTTACATTGTGTTTCAGATTTCTGTATTCCATGGTATTTCCTCAGTTGCCTATTGTACATGTTCACATCGTAGGTAGAAAGAACATAAGATTTCCATAAAGGACCCACACAACAGGAAGCTACACTGTATTTGGCCCTTTCGTTAGTGCTCATTTGTTGGTTAAGAAAGCAAAATGAAACAAAAATTTCGTCCATCCAGTATTTAATTAAGAAAGCACCCCTCAGCCACCTGGCAGGGAAACCTGTTCCAGATATTCTAGATTTGTATCTCTGATTCATTGCTAAATGTGGAACAGTCCCCTGGATTAACTTTATCTAAACCTTTAGGATCTTATATACTCGAAGACAATCTTTTTCACTTTGTTCAATCTTGAAGAGATTTATCTACTTTAACATGCCCATATATCCCAAGGAATAACCAGGAATCATTCTTATTGCTGTTTTTTTTGTTTCCAAGGCTATAATAATAAGGCTATTTGTGGTATAGTGACCAAAGCTGAACACTATATCCTAAGTGAGGCCTTACTAGTAGCTTGCAAAGCTTTAGCATAACCTCTTTAATTCCATATAATTGGTCACTATATCCCTATATATCCAAGGTGCTTTCCCACACTGTCTTAATGATAACACAGACAAATCTACTTTAACAACATGTATAGCTGAGCATGGAACAAAGTTTGTAAGGTGTTGTTGTTGGGTATGGGGAAAGGAATGTCAACCCCAAACCAAATGGCTATTATTAGCACATGACAGTTATTGCATCCTCTATAGGATCCTGCATTTAGGAATTGATCTAAATATATTTATTTTCAATTTGCCAAACCCTTTTTCCACTTAACATTTAACCTGATGCACATTACGCGGTAGCACAGGATTATTATAAAGGCTGGCACTTGGGAATTCAGCAATTATAACCCAGTAGCAACAACCTACAGGATTTTCCTTCACTGATGGAGAAACATGGTGAAGACAGAGTTCAAGCTTCACGCTGAAGTAAATGGGTATGCTGTGCAGACCTTTGAAGTCTGAAGGTGCACTTTGTTTAGTCCTGTCATGGTTTGGTAGACAAGTGCAGTTGTCAGTGATAGAGAAGAAAACAGGTATGAAATTGAAGACATTTGTAATGATATCTGGGAGTAGTACTAGTGTCATGCCAAGTGGTTAGTACAAGAGGTCAATGCTGATTGTGCATCTGCTACTGCTGTCTCCAGACCTAGTTTAGATTTATGAGTTTCACAGGCCTCTTTCCTCACCGGGGCTTGCTGAGAGAGCTTTACCATCATTTTGATTACATTGAGTCTGGTACAAATTCAACTTTGTGCAAAATGTTCTCCAAATCACAAGATATATCTTTATGACTGAGTAAAACCACATGTTTAGTCTCAAACTGTACTCCAGCCTTTTGCCCTATACTTTCATTTTGTACTGTATGGCCCTGGATTGCCACCATTCTCATTAGGGGTGAGCTGTTTTATGATGATGGACAGATGGATGTTGTGCTGTTTAAAAAACAAGTGCACAAATTTTCCATCATACTGTTTCATTCCCCTCATGTACTGTAGATGGGGATACTGTAGAATGCTCTCCTGTCTCACTGCCTGTTCAAATAGATAGATACTTTATTGATTCCGTGCAGGAAATTGCAGTGCAACAGCATCTTAACACAGTCAACACAGCACAGTGTAACGAATGATACAATAATAATACAATACATACAATACAATCAGTACAGTCGGTGAGAAGTGCTCTAAGAAGAGTTACTCACAGTCCAGAACATACAAAGAACAAACCAGAACAGTACACAAAAGTTGTATTGCACAATATAAATATAAATATAAATGTATTGCACAAGTCCCTGGCATATATTGCACAAAAACAGTTGTAAACGTGAAACCCAGATGTAGCAGAGAGTTTACTGTTTAGCTTACGTCCTCTTCCCCATGATGAATGATACCAGGCTGATGATCTCTTTAGCACAGACATATCTGAACTGGATATATGTATGTGCCTGGTCTAATTGGGAAGCTGGGAAGTACAGGTTGCGGCACAGAAATTTGGCACGCTCAGCATCATGGTTCCTCAGACTCAATACACATCTGTACTATGTTTCTTTCTCACTACTTCATATTTATTATCCCACAACATATTTATTGTTCCTGTTGTTATTATTTATTATGTTTTTAATGTACTGTCTACATTGTTTGGTGTTGTCTGTTGTACTGTGAATGTCCCGAGAGATCAGTGCAATTAAGAATTCCAATGTACAGTACATTGGCAATAAACTACTCTACTCTGGACCACAATGTGCCACTCACCATTCTTCACCATTTAGAACAACTAAACTGTAGGCAATACCAGGACTCTAAGTCTGGAATATTCTCCCTCTCACACTGAGTGAATGGATACCGTCAGCACAAAAACATTTTACTTATTTATATGTCAGTAGATTGTTTTTTTTGTATCAAATAAGCAGATCCGGCCAATTTCTGAAAGTTGTTTATGAGTATAGGGTACAAAACATGATTTGGTGAAAGTGCAGATATATTTCTTATAGTTCTGCCAGCACAGTTTTTCAAGATTTGACCTTTTTTGACCTGGTTTATAAACTGAAACAT